GAGGTTAAGGCACCAGGCTAGAAACCAGGAGGCCCTGAGTTCAAGTCCTAATTTAGGCATGGCAGCCAGCTGGGTGACTCTGGACCAGTTCCTCTCACCCAGCCCTAGGAAGAAGGCGGCCAGGGTCGACCACTTCCAAAAATCTTGCCAAGAAAACTGCTGGGACTTTGTCCAGAGTCAAGACTGGCTCAAAGGTGCACACAAACACACAGCCCCCGGCTCGATAGATAACAGCCCTTTAGTAATCTCAAAAAAGCCAAGCAGGGTCTAATTACTATTCGGATGGAAGGCCACAAGGAAAGCTCTAACAGACTTGACCATTAAAAAACACACACACACACACACACACACACACACACACAGCAAGCGACTGTCATAATAAGCAGTGTGAGTCAATAAGAGTCACTTTTCCTTGTTTTGGCTTACAATGGGAAATAGCCCCATACCTCATCAGTCTCAGGGGTGTCTCTAGAAGGGGGTCAAAAAAGTCAAGATGGTGGCCACAACAGCACGATGAAAGCCCTCTTCCTTTTTTTAACATACAACATAAAATTTAAAAAAGGGCAGGACTTGCAATCGCAGCCACCATCTTGGCTTTCTTGACCCCCTTCTGCAGACCCCGTTGATCAAGCTTAGAGTCTCCGTAAAGAAAACCCGCAGCTATAACCCAACGGAGACCTGTTTCTTGGATCTCCTTCTTCCTCCAAACACCTGATCTTCCTCCTTCAGCCCCTCCAGAAAAGAAAAAGACAATATAACCGCTTGCTTTGAACCACGTGTGAGCCAGCAGCAGCTTCTCGCTGAGGCCATGTTCTTCTGAGCACGCTGGATCAGGGCACATCACACAATTGCCTACCCAATGCCTTTCTTCCTTTTCTGACACCCTGAACGTTACAGCTTGAGGCAACTTTTCAAGGGCTGTGGTGGGAGAAGGGGGGATCAGGCAAACCCACCCAGCTTCATTCAACCCCTGCTTTAAGAGAACCTCCAGTTCGCAGCTTTGGACAAGTCTCAGATTTATTTTTTGAAAATGTTTACACCACCAGATAGCCAAAGCTCGCTAGCCCAGTGTTTCTCAGCCTTGGCAACTTGAAGATGGGTGGACTTCAACTCCCAGAATTCTTCAAGTGTTTCTCAACCGTGGCAACTTGAAGGTGGGTGGACTTCAACTCCCAGAATTCCCCCACCGGTTTCCCAAACCTCCCACTCGACAGGATTTGAAGTATATATTGGTGTGGA